TGTTATGCTATGTTATTTATATATTGCAAAATATTTTTTGTCCAAGTATTTTGTCTTTTTTTTCTGGTTTTGTCTGATCAATAGTTGACTCAAGTGTTTGGATTCAGTTTAAATTTCATACCAGTATAAAATAGATTTTAGTTATATTCTTTTTATCTGGATAATTAAATTATACTCATAACTTTCCATTTAAGTAGCTATAACTGTTAAAATATATGACATGTTTAAAGAGTAAGGCACTGAATAGGTAGATGAAATTTATGTATACTTAAAATTATTTTGTGGGTGGCAATATTTTTTTCCATACCATACTATTTCATCCTGGACACCAACATTGGCTTTTATTGTGGAAAATGAATCTTTCAGCCTCACTAGGTAAGATGTTCATCTTTAAAAGACTTCATCAGAAGAACCAATGCCTACTACATAAATCTGTTCAAAAGAAGACTGACTCAGGAGCTGGAGTCAGGAGTTGGGGTTATGTCCCATGATGGTGATTGGAGGGAGGGAAGACAGTGTATTGGGAGGGAAAAAAATGAAAGGGTGATGAAAAGGGTTAGGAAAGGAAACACTTATAATGAGGAGAAAACCAAAGCAACTTGTGCTGAATATAGATGGAATGGAAAAGTAGCCTCGTAAAAGGTGCTAAGAAAATTAAAATAGCTCAGGGAGGAACTTGTATTAGAGTCATTGTGTAGCATGATCAAGGGTTTGGAGGGGATCTTAGCATCAAAACAACAGCAGTACATTAGGATCTCCTGAGGTGCTTATTACAAATGCTGCAGGCAGCTGAAGCAGAACCTCTTGGTGTTGCCAAGGAATTTGCATTTTTAAAATAAACATCTATGTTTTGTCCCCATCCCCAGGTGAATCTTAAAAGTGCTAAAATTTGAGCACCACTGAATTAAAGTATGAGTAAAGAACATGTAAAAATTAAATCTTAGAAATAGAGATACTGGAATCAAATGGAGAGGAGACTCTAAGGGAATTTGCAAAGTAAGAAATATGTAGAAAAGATAATGAAAGGTGATAATATTCAGGAATAAAGTAACAGTGAACTGCCAGAAAAGGAGGATATGAGTAGAGAAGAAAGGCAATTATGACAGGAGTCAAAAAGAATGAACAAGAGTGAGTGTGTAAGAGGCCAGAAATGACATCCTCAGAACAGGAGTCATGTGAAGAGAAAAATGGAAGACCACGCATGGCCTTGAGCACTCCAGCTTTGCAAGGGCTAAACTGTGGGAGGCCTGTCAGTACCCATAAGAGGACACCAGAAAGCAAACTCTATCTTTAGATAATAATTTTTTTTT